AAAATTGTTACTAGGTCAGGATCGTACATTAGGTACTTCTTAAAACTGTCCTGTTACCAGATCACTGTTCCGTCACTAGGTCACGCGGGACTCGAACCCAGGACTTTCGGTTTCAATAATCTACACAACCCTATACTAAAAATCACTTTTTATACACAGCTTTGTGATTAATTCAAAAAGTTCTAATTCTAACCATTGTAATGAAAGTTCATTATCGAATCATTTATATTTTTTAAATTTTGCAAGAATCATTTGCACTACTTGTAATTTGTCAGTAGGTAAATAATGCACGAGTAAACGTTTTTTTACCCAAAGATTAAAAACACCTTGGTATTTTGGTTATGTTATAAGGAATGTTTACTTGTTTAAGAATATTTGATTAGATGCACAAGTAAACAATCATGGAGCACTATTCTAAACCCCTGTTTAGACATGCGCTATGAAAAGTGACAACAATTTAGAGAACTACACTACTTTCTCTGTACAAGTAGTGAGTCACATCGTTGAAGCTCACTGTAAAAATAATGTTATTGATGAGTTTTTCAAATACACGATATAAGATTGTAATAAAAGTGTGCAGCGTATTTTGGTAATGACGAGACTCTAATTTACGAACCAATCAGATTTACGACAACAAATCTTGAATTTTGGCGCGAAATTAATTCATTTATTTGGCTAAATAGATTTTGGCATTATAGGGATATCAATTCGTAATGAAAATCCTATATCCAATCCTAACCTAACTATCAACTGTATACATTAATCCTAATTCCTCACACTTGTTTCTAACCTTCATTTAATCGTAGTATGTAGGTGGATATTCTCAAGGTCTTTTTAGTGTCGCTCAAAGGTCGTCCATGAATTATAATCTCACTGACTGAATTTTATAACTTAAAGAAACTTACTAACTTACACCTGTTACTCCCAATGGAGCATACGCCGCCGACCAGCATTCTCCAGCCCACTCTGTCCTGGGCCTACGTTACTAGTTCTATCCAATTTTTGTTCATTTTTCTCATGTCTATCTCCATTTCCCGATGTAATGTGTTCTTTGGTCTTGAGGATCCCATGTGAGGGCTTGTCTTGTGACTAAGTTGGGTGATTTCCTCAACATATGTCCTATCCACTTTCATCGCTTCTTCCTGATTTCTTCGTCTCTAGGATCTGGTTTGTTCTTTCCTATAGTAGGTTGTTGTTGATACTGTCCAGCCAACGGATCCGAAGTATTTTGCGTAGACAACTGTTAATAAACACTTGTATCTTCTGGATAATCACTTTCATTCAAACTTGTAGGATATTCATATTATGTAGAAGATTCAAGGCTGAATTATACAGTGGTAGTTTACTGATCTGATTTGTGAATGATGTGATCGAAGATAAATTTTAAAAAAAAGTATCCGTAACCTTATTTCATAAAAATGATAATCTTAATAAATTCATCAATCAATACATGAACATAATAGAAATCAGGCCAATGATACCAACTGTTCAGAAGAAGTCACTATTTTTTTTACTAGTTAAATACCAACATACAGATTTAAAAACAAAATGTTGGACACCAAAAAATCACTGTAACCATACTGAATGGGATTAGTTACAATTGACAGATATTGAAACCGCCAACAATGAAATGATAATCGAATTCACTATATATTTATCAATTCAATTACTTCTACAGAAGAAACAATTACGTAAGGTTTTACAATTTGACAAGTTTATCATTGTATAGCTTAACACTGTAGAGCTTAGTTAAGCTAAAGATAGTTAAGGATGATTAGAAGTTGTATTCTCCTTCACTTGGTGGACACAATATATTAAGTTGGCTTGAATAACGCTTCAAATGTTATTTATTGTATTTCATTAAATTTACCATATGATTTACGAGTTGGTCTTTTGTATATGATTGAAGCCGTAAGAAGATATATTCGAAAATCTGGACTTTGCAGGCGAGACTCTAACTTATGGACGAGCCAATCAGGAGTGTTTTAGAGATTTCAAGATAACGGCGCCAACTTCAGTGCTTAATGCTAACGTACGATCAGTTCACAGGGAATTTCGTGCAAAACGTGATGATTGAGTGGCTATAACAAATAAAACGGCGAGACTATAATTTGTGGACGAATCAATCAGGTTTAAGATAATATATCTCGGATTTTAACGCGAAAGCCTTTCATCCATTTTGCTAAATAAATTTCTGGCATTATAGCTGATGCGAATCCGTGATGAAAACCCCATATATAATTCATAACTAAGGCGAATTACAACAAGTATTGCGAACTGGATAATTAAAGCACCAGTAATAGTGGCTGTAGCCGGGTACTACAATATGTACGGATGATTGGAGAGCGTACAGACTCCTACATAGGCTTGGTTATGTGCATCCTGTCGTTATCGACAAGTAGCATTTTGTGCACTCAACAACCGGAATGCACACAAGCAATATTGAAGCTATGTGGTTGAGGCTGAAAGAGTTTTTGAGACTTTATCATGGCTCCAGAGGCCGACTATTCTGTAGACATATGAATGATTTCCTCAACTGCATGCATTACGATTTTAGAACCTCTGAACCTCTTTCTAACCTTGACAAGATTTTGAACCATGTATAAGAAGTGAATCCACTTTATTTCCTTGGTTTTGTATAATATATTTTTACTCTATTCTGACTGTGTGCTGATTAGCTAATATTGATCAAGGTCAATTAAGATTCGTTCAAAGGTCGTCAATAAATTAGAGTCTCGCTGATTTTTGATTTAGCTCATTGCTTTATGAAATATTTTCTAATTTCTTTTACTTTTCGAGTTCTCACATTTTTCACCATTCGTCTCTTCTTTCCATTACAAAATAAGCTTCTTATCAACATCTTTTAACGATCTTACTATATATTATGTAGTCAAAAAACCCGATCAATTACATGTTTTAAATACTTTGCTTATTACAATCATCACAACCTTCTTGTTCGAATTAGTTATTAGTCACTCAACACTATTTTCATATTATCAGTATGGTGTTATGGAGATTGTTAAATTTTAACTGGGGTTATCAATCGATCAGTGTTAGACCACCATTGAAAACCTGAAAACATTGACCGTCCGTCTCTTCCTAGTATGAATCTCCTCAACAATGTACATCCATGACCCAGGACGTGGGACCCGAACTAAGAATCTTTGGTTTAACATATGAATGCTTAACCTTTAGACTACTTCAAATAATTCACCATACTGCGCTACCATTTTCCCTATTTTAATAATCCCCTTAAGTAAAAAAGTTTTTTCCGTTCACATAAATCTGAAATTGTACAAAGCATAAATAATTAAAATGAAACAGCCTCAAGTTTGTTAGCTGAAACAAAATGATCCAATGATGGAGTTAATGTAAAACTCTATAGTATATAACAAAAACGTACTATTTCTAATACTTTATACAGACCCATTTTTGGATTGGGATACAAAAAATGGAGTCAATATGAGTAGTAGTAGTAGTAGTAGTAGTAGTAGTAGTAGTAGTAGAAGTAGTAGTAGTAGTAGTAGTAGCTAAGCTCTTATTTTTACATTAAAAACAAATGAATCTTGATAATGTCAAACTGGGTCGTCTAGATTTTTGTCAAATTTTTTGGTTTAACAAAAAAACAAAATGATACAATCCAAAATTTAGTCAATAAGAAAACTATACGTTTACTACTCATAAGTAATGAAAGCATGTTTCCGGAAGAAAAAAAGAAAGGAAAAAAATGTTTTTTTTTTGTTTGAAGTTTAAAAAAACAATTATCGATCGAATGTAGTTGGATATAATAAGTGTATTTTTTTCTCAATTCAGTTCTATTTGATCACCATGGGTATTTTTTTAATGGTAAGATGTTAATTGCACCGCTTAAATTACGTTCGTTTAAATATGTAGCTTTTATTTATTCATTTAAACACATAAACATTGGTACAAGGAGGCGCCAAATACATATGCGCCACATAAATCGAATGATTTATGTGAGGGCTGGGATACTGCCCGGGTGCCCAGACCGAAGCAAGTGGTTTTCTTAGGGGGCCACACCCCGAGCCTTGGACCTAAAGGTCTGACCCACAAGACAATGGAGCATCGTGAGG